GATCCCGCTAACTGAGCAACGCAAGAAAGTCATCGATGAATATATCAACGCACAAAATCATCTCTCCACAGAACAGTCTCGCACGCTCACTGAACTACTTCATGATAACCACGATTTATTTATCTTGCATGATGATGACTATGGCTACTGTGACATATTCCCTCATAAAATTAACACAGGACAAAATAACCCTATAAAACAACCTACCCGGCGGATTCCATATCACCGCCGGAAGGCTCTGCAAGATCTACTGAATACGCTGTTAAAGCAAGGCATAATACAAGAATCGATTAGTCCGTGGGCATCACCCATAGTATTGGTGCCAAAGAAGGATGGCTCTCTTCGACTCTGTATCGACTACAGGAAGTTGAACTCTGTCGCCGAACCTGACGCCTACCCGATTCCCCGGGCGGATGACATGCTTGATTCCCTGTCTGGCTGTCGGTATTTCACGTCCCTTGACTTCGCGTCAGGGTACTGGCAAATAGCAATGGAAGGAAGCGACAAGGCTAAGACGGCATTTACCACGCCACTGGCCTTGTTTGAGTTTAATGTTCTGCCGATGGGCTGCAGGAATGGCCCAGCGACATTTCAGCGCGTAATGGAAGCAGTCCTGAGTGGCTTATGTAACACACCGGTCCAGCCATTCTGCCGTGTGTTCTTTGATGATGTCCTGAATGCCAGCGAAACGCTGTCTGGCCAACTCCAGATTCTGCTGCCCGTGTTCGCGCGAGTTCGGTCCGCTGGACTGCGGTTCAATCTGAAGAAATGCTCCTTCTTCCAGGAGGAGGTCACTTTCTTAGGACACCGCGTGTCAGCGGAGGGCATCTCCCCGAATGAAGCCAAACTCGTCGCGGTCAGGAACTGGAAGACTCCGAAATCTGTCACAGCTGTCCGCGAGTTCCTTGGCTTCGCTGGATATTATCGCCGCTTCATCCGTGGGTTCGCCCAGCGTGCTGCTCCGCTGACTGCTCTGACAGGCAAGAATGCTCGCTTTGCATGGTCGAAAGCTTGCGAAGCGGCGTTCCAGGCTCTGAAGCGTTCGCTTGCCAGTGCGCCGGTGATGGCGTACCCCCAGTTTGAAGATTCAGCAGGTGCATTCATTCTGGACACCGATGCGAGCAATGTGTCGATTGGTGCAGTCCTCAGTCAGATCCAGGATGGAACTGAGCGACCAATTGGGTACGGCAGCCGTGTACTGACGAAAGCTGAGCGCAACTACGATGCTAGCGATCGTGAGGCCCTTGCTCTGGTCTATTTTGCGGAGTATTTCAGGCACTACTTGTTGGCACGACCATTTGTTGCCAGGACGGACAATACTGCGTTGACTGCACTCCGGAACCTGAAGGAACCCCGCGGACGGAAAGCACGTTGGCTTGACTGTTTATCCGAATATGAATTCCGAGTCGTCCACCGTCCAGGTCGCCAACATCTGAATGCCGATGCTATGTCCCGCGTGGTGACCGATGTGCCGTCTCCTCCGCCGAGTCCGCCGCCTCTTGCCCGTGATGTTCCGTTGTCAGCTGCTGATGAAGTGCCACTTGCTGTTGATGTTCCTCCGGCTGCTGAGATTATTCCTCCGGCCGTTTTTGTTCGTCCTCCTGGTTCCTCTGCTGCTGGACCGTTGCCGGATTGTTACAAGCCTCAGAGTCTTCTTGCTCCGTATGCTGATCCTGCTCTGTCTGAGTGTTTCACCCGATATGATGCTGCCAGTGGCAAGTTTGTTCGTCCGCCTGAAGCCGTTTCCCGTCCTCCCGACTGTCAACCGCCTGCCGTTACTGCTTCTCGTCCTGACCCGATTACGCTGCCTGATGATGATTTGCCGCGCTGCGTTCCGCCGCTACAGCCACCGTCGTCTGATCCGGTCCGTACTTCTTCTCCTGTTTCTCGTCGTTCTGGCCGTGTCCGCACTGCACCTGCTCGACTAGCTGACTATGTCCTGGACTGAGTTTATTATTTGGTTTGTTTTCTTTTGTTGTTTCCTAGGTATTTCGTTCATTCCCGTGGACGTGAATTTTAGCTAGGGGGGCACAGTGTAATAGGTGTATGTATGCTACGACCTGAATACTCACTATTTGTATTTCCCGCTCGTTCCCCTTGGCAATGAGCACTCACATAGAAGAGCGCATGCTCCAGTTCTGTTGTAGTCTAGTCTTGAGTTGTCGTTGTCCTGTTCTCCTTGTCTACACTCTTCTCGAATACTTCTAATTATCCAATCATAATACCCTTGTGTTCCGGTGTGAGGGGGCATTATTAGCCGGGAGCAGCTAACACATATACATGACTGTATATTTACCCACGGGCCAAGCGTGGGACATTCACGGATGCACACACACACACACACACACACACACATGGCCTGCAGCAAATAACATTTCATAGCTACAAGACCTTCAAAGAAAGTCATGGTGTCAAGAAGATAGATAAGACAAGGATAATTGTAAAGTATAAATTATATTATACATATACATGTAGCAGGGATATTCTCAGAGAGTCAAACTACTGGATGAAATGGCAAACGAAAGTCTCAACTTCAGAGAGTAGAGTAGAGAGTAGAGTGGGTGGGTGTGCAGACCAGCGAAGGTCATAACAAATTGATAATAACGTGTAACCAATGCCGGCAATGGATAATGTGTGAGCGACCAAAGAGGCGTACATAGCATTACCTGTACCACCATAAACACACCTTGACCTTGCCCATTGCGTAGCAAAGATACCGCATTGTTATTTCTCCAGTCCACGACAGAATGACTGATGGCGTTTCAGGTCGCCGCTTCGACGGAACATGCGGCCGCAGGCGCAACCGTAGCCAGCAGCAGAGGGTGCCTTGTGTGGTCGACGGGCAATGGCACGCCACTCCGGATGGTTCTGGGCTGCATTTACCATCCACATGTTGGTACCGGTGGCTCAACCGACGCAAAGTCATGCATAACAACGTCCCTCCGCCTCTTCCGTGGATCACGCGCGGGGCGCGGGGCAGGCAGTTCACCGAAGAGAACACACTTCGGCAACCGGTGATCTTCCCTCCGTGCCACGTGTCCAAGCCAGCGCAAACGTCATTCCCGTATGATGTGACCAATGTCCTCAGGCACTCCAAGGGTCTTTGCAAGGGCTGAGGACGTTGCGTGGGTCTCCCATTGCTGCCGTCGCGACACTCCAACGATAGATCTGACACATTGATGGTGGAAAAGGTTGAGGTGTCGTAGGTCCGGAGCCTTCGTTGTCCAGGTCTCCGCGCCGTACAGGAGGGTAGAGAGCACCACGGCAACATACACGCGACGACGACACTGCAAACTCAGTGATCGGTTCTCGGATACGGCTTGCTTCAATTGCAAGGAACTAAATACGGCAAGCAAATCGAGGGACATTAGGTGCAAACCTCGTTGTTCTAGTTGTGTAGACTGCACGGGGTCTTGAAAATACTGAGCCTCCACGTTGTATCTGTGTGGCATGTGGCATCCGTTGATCTCGTTTGAGTAGTAGTAGGCATGCACTGCATTATGTTTTGATGAAAGGTTCGATAGCTGATGAATGGGTTTATCATTTGGCTTCCTGTGTGGGTATTGCTTCTGTGGATTGGTTTGGAGCAATGTTCAGATAGTCCAGGCATCAGGCAAATTTATAATGGCGGTCCAAGCTAGTTGAATATCCGGATCACTTTTTCTCATCTGGTCTACACTCCATCCGCTTGCATCCGTAAGCAATGCAAACGCATTGTCCCTTGCACAGGCACGTGACTCCTGCAGGCAATTTTGGGAGAGCGTAAAGTGGCAGGACGGATATTCCCGTGAAGTTACAACATGATCTGAGTATAATCGTAGGACATCAAGTCTTGACACTACTTGTGACATGATCAATTCTGCTATGCTCTAATGCAGACTAGCAATAAGAGGCATTTGTCAGATACTAGTAACCATGAGGTACTGAGACGATTCTCTTTAGCAAACCACCCACTCCGCTATAAATGCTCAAATAATCTGTCATCTGCCTGCTCCAACTTGACTGTCCTCTTGACAAGTGAAAATCGCTGGCGTTGTCTGGGCCATAAACACCATTATTGGCATTAATCCAACGCCTCCCTTGCTCCTCATCTCTGCATCTCGTAACGATAGGTCTGGCACATCGAAATCTAAAACTAAAATATTTGGAGCTCTTATTTGTTCAAGCTATATTTTCAGAGCCAGGAAGTTGCAAATGGCAAGAAACCCAGCTTCTCTTCACCATTGGTATCACGAGCTATGATCATTATCAGTGAGCAACGTTACTAGAGGAAAGTCGCTGGAGTGAACAGAAAGCTTTCCAAGCAGCAACGTTTCTTTCTCAGCAAGAACAAATAAAAATGAAAGGAGCAACACCAAGGATTTGTCTATCCCGGTATAGGTACCCGGGTGTGTGTAGCCTCTGGCATGGCAAGGTTCTGCCACAGATTTCCAGTACAACGGCCACGGACAAGTGTCCCACTGAGATGCGGTCGCTCGCCCGGACCGCTCCGACGCGGACGCCTGTGACGTTTATTTTTTTATGACAGAAAACTGCAAAAAAAGTTGGGCTTGTCCCTTTAGTCCTACCCTATAGAGAGGTACATTGAAATTCAAAGGTCAGCACAAATGGTCAAAACCAGACATTTTCTCAACTATTTGCCCGTTAGCACCTCAGAAAACGACAAAGACCATCATCATCTCCTTGTGTAGCTGGACATAGACAAGTGCAGCAAGAAAACGAGCCACATTTCTCTAAAGAACTCGCGCAGGGCTGCTGAAAGCTGAAAAATAACCTATCTTACAAATTGGGCCTTTTTACCCGTGAATCTTCACTTTGCGACTAAACTATTCTCAGCAGTGCCAAATTTTCTGGGCCACTGAATGTGGGTGCCAGCGCCCTCCAAGCAAACCAAAAATCAAATCAATGCGACCGCTGATAATGCAGCTGGGTCATGTTATAGAGAGGTACATTGAAATTCAAAGGTCAGCACAAATGGTCAAAATCCGACATTTTCCCACCTTTCTGCCCGTTCACAGCTGAGAAAATGACAATGACCATCCTCATCTGCTTGTGTATTTGGACACAAAGAAGTACACCAAGAAAAAGAGCCACATTTATCCAAAGAACTCGCCCAGGGCTGCTGAAAGCTGAAAAATAACCTATCTCACAAATTGGGGCTTTTTACCCGTGAATCTTCACTTTGCGACTAAACTATTCACAGCAGTGCCAACTTTTCTGGGTCACTGAATGTGGGTGCCAGAACCCTACAAGCAAACAAAAAATCAAATCAATGCGACCGCTCACAATGGAGCTGGGTCATGTTATAGAGAGGTACAATGAAATTCAAAGGTCAGCACAAATGGTCAAAATCCCACATTTTCTCACCTTTCTGCCCGTTCGCAGCTCAGAAAATGACAATGACCGTCATCATGTCCTTGTGTAGCTGGACATAGACAAGTGCACCAAGAAAAACAGCCACATGTCTCTAAAGAACCCACCCGGGGCTGCTGAAAGCTGAAAAATAGCCTATCTCACAAATTGAGGCTTTTTACCCGTGAATCTTCACTTTCCGACTAAACTATTCACAGCAGTGCCAAATTATCTGGATCACTGCATTTGGGTGCCAACGCCCTCCAAGCAAACCAAAAGTCAAATCGATGCGACTACTGACATTACATCTGGGTCATGTTATAGAGAGGTACATTGAAATTCAAAGGTCAGCACAAATGGTCAAAATCCGACATTTTCTCACCTTTCTGCCCGTTCGCAGCTCAGAAAATGGCGATGACCATCCTCATCTCCTTGTGTACCTGGACACAAACACGTGCACCAAGACAAATAGCCACATTTCTCTAAAGAACTCGCCCAGGGCTGCTGAAAGCTGAAAAATAACCTATCTGACAGTTTGGGGCTTTTTACCCATGAATCTTCACTTTGCGACTAAACTATTCACAGCAGTGCCAAATTTTCTGGGTCACTGAATTTGGGTGCCAGCTCCCTCCAAGCAAACCAAAAATCAAATCAATGCGAGCACTGACATTACAGCTGGGTCATGTTATAGAGAGGTGCATTGAAATTCAAAGGTCATCACAAATGATCAAAACCAGACATTTTCTCAACCTTTTGCCCGTTAGCAGCTCAGAAAATGACAATGACCATCATCATCTCCTTGTGTAGCTGGACATAGACAAGTGCACCAAGAAAACGAGCCACATTTCTCTAAAGAACTCGCACAGGGCTGGTGAAAGCTGAAAAATAACCTATCTTACAAATTGGGGCTTTTTACCCGTGAATCTTCACTTTGCGACTAAACTATTCACAGCAGTGCCAAATGTTCTGGGTCACTAACTGTGGGTGCAAGCGAACTCCAAGAAAACCAAAAATCAAATCAATGCGACCACTGACAATGCAGCTGGGTCATGTTATAGAGCGGTACATTGAAATTCAAAGGTCAGCACAAATGGTCAAAATACGACATTTTCTCACCTTTCTGCCCGTTCGCAGCTCAGAAAATGACAATGACCGTCATCATGTCCTTGTGTAGCTGGACATAGACAAGTGCACCATGAAAACGAGCCACATTTCTCTAAAGAACTCGCCCAGGGCTGCTGAAAGCTGAAAAATAACCTTTCTGACAGTTTGGGGCTTTTTACCCATGAATCTTCACTTTGCGACTAAACTATTCACAGCAGTGCCAAGTTTTCTGGTCCACTGAATGTGGGTGCCAGCGCCCTCCAAGCAAACCAAAAATCAAATCAATGCGACCGCTGATAATGCAGCTCGGTCATGTTATAGAGAGGTACATTGAAATTCAAAGGTCAGCACAAATGGTCAAAGTCCGACATTTTCCCACCTTTCTGCCCGTTTACAGCTGAGAAAATGACAATGACCATCATTATCTGCTTGTGTATTTGGACACAGACAAGTGCACCAAGAAAAAGAGCCACATTTATCCAAAGAACTCGCCCAGGGCTGCTGAAAGCTGAAAAATAACCTATCTCACAAATTGGGGCTTTTTACCCGTGAATCTTTACTTTGCGACTAAACTATTCACAGCAGTGCCAACTTTTCTGGGTCACTGAATGTGGGTGCCAGAGCCCTACAAGCAAACCAAAAATCAAATCAATGCGACCGCTCACAATGCAGCTGGGTCATGTTATAGAGAGGTACAATGAAATTCAAAGGTCAGCACAAATGGTCAAAATACGACATTTTCTCACCTTTCTGCCCATTCGCAGCTCAGAAAATGGCAATGACCGTCATCATGTCCTTGTGCAGCTGGACATAGACAAGTGCACCAAGAAAAACAGCCACATGTCTCTAAGGAATTCGCTGCTGAAAGCTGAAAAATAGCCTATCTCACAAATTGAGGCTTTTTACCCGTGAATCTTCACTTTCCGACTAAACTATTCACAGCAGTGCCAAATTATCTGGGTCACTGAATGTGGGTGCCAGCGCCCTCCAAGCAAACTGTTCCGTCGCATTTCATATATTGCTAGACTATCTGGTTTCTGTGTGTGAGCCGACAATAGGCGGTTGTGCGATGACAGTCTGGTTCTTTTCATTACCTTCGTAATCTGTGTCACGCTCACTTGGTTGCGGTTTCATTCATGTCTGTCATGCTAGTGTTAGTAGCCGCTGAACTAGTATCGTACGCTGCACATATCTAGAGTGCAAGAGTTCATAGTGCGTACGGGATCTTTCCATGCCTGCTGCTTTGGCTTCCTTTGTTTCGCTGCTTTTCAGGATATGTTCTGTGCATAAATTAGCTGGTTTTAGTTGATAGTACTTTAGTGTGTGTGTAAGGATTTGTAGAGAACAGGAGCTGTTGTTGTATCGTCTTGCAAGAACGTTGTAAGACAGATCAAGCCCCACAGTTTGTGTGATGATTCGAGTGTATGAGTACTCGAGTGCATGAATATACAGTCTTCGAAGGGTTCGTGTGCGTGTGAGTAGAAAATACGAACATATCTGGTCCTTCGAGCCGGATTGTGGCATGGCGTCGGATCCTGGTATGCGTAGGAGCAGCCGTTCCACGATAGGAGTACCTCCTCAGCGATGGGGTTTCGAGACCGAAGCTGTCGAAGGTAATCGTGACCAGCAAGGAGCAGTGCCGACGTCCGGCAATGGAAGTCGAGCTGTGAGTGCTCGATCGCGGACATCATCAGCCCAGCACAGTGGTAGCTCGCGACGAGCAGTGTTGGAAGCTGAGATTCGAGTCGCAAAGGCGCAGTTGGAACTGCGAGAATCTGAATTGGCAGCGGAAACTCTTGTAAGGACAAGTAGTGTTCGTTCGCCAGGCTCCGGGACAGGGAGGTCCCCGTCTCTCGGGATGCAACAACAAGTGTTTGCGGAGGCCGCAGAAGTGTTTGATGCAGGCGAGGAGGCACCACAAGGAGAGCCACACGACAACTCTCAACCGGACGCAGTAGTCGTCGGACTGGTTGCAGGAGATGTCGGGGACGTAGCAGGACACGTCCAGGAGATAGAGTCGGACGCCGAAAGTCACCTCCGACGCGAGTTCCAGCTGAAGGAACTCAGGTACCAGCAGGAAATCGGCTACCTCGGCGAGCAGTTGAACGAGTGCCGAAAGGAGTCGAGAAGGGTGAAAGACCGTGCTCAATCGATCGTCCAGAAGCTGGAGGTCGCCGAAAGCAAGCTTAGGGTCGCACAGCGGGAGAATCGAGACCTATTGCAAACCAGCTACGAACAGGAGAAGAGCATGTACAGTGAGCTGGAGCAAGCGCGGCACGAACTCGCGGAGATGGAGCGGCGCGTGCAGCATGCACACAGCAAGGTATGTGACGAGTCCACAGCTGTAGTTGCATCACGTGTGAATTCTCCTCAATCCGTGAATAGTACAGACAGTCGTGATGGTGCCAAGTGTGTAACGCACGGGCTGTCTGCCTGTCAGATGAGTGGCAGTCACAGTCGAGTGGTCAGAGATGAGGCCAGCAGTCAAGTGCCCGTGCCAGCCAGCAGTGACTCTAGTAATGATTGTAGCAGTACAGCTGGCAATGCTGACTCAGACCAGTGTACTGGCCAGGGCACCATAGGCATCGCCAACATGGCACAGGAGTTTATGGGTGCTTTGACAGCAGCACTACGGAGTAGTGGCAACAACACCACCACCAGCCACAGTACTACTCCTGACTCTGACACTGGCCTACACCAGCTAGCAGCCCGACACAGCTCCATCAACACCAAGCTGCCCACGTTCTCTGGGAGACCTGAGGAATGGCCAACGTTCATCAGCACATACAGGAGCAGCACCAAGCAGTGCGGATTCAGCAATGCCGAGAACGTTCAACGCCTGCAAGCGTGCCTGAAGGGCAAAGCACGGGATGCGGTACAGCTGATGCTCTCCGTGCCCGACAATGTGGAGCAGGCCGTGCAGACGCTCGAGCGACGGTTTGGCAGGCCGGAGCTCGTCGTCACTGAGCTGATCGAGCAAGCCAAATCACTCAAACCCGTGAGGGCAGACGACCCCGACAGCTTGATCGGACTGGCAACGGCCATCAACAACATCGTGCTGACAATGAAGCTGCTCAACAGCCAGGGCCACCTGACCAACCCTGCATTGCGCAACGAGTTGGTCACGAAGTTACCACCAGCTCAACGGATGCAATGGGGAGAGTATCTAAAGACGCAAGGGTTGACGACCGATCAGCTCGGACTCGACACGTTCTCGTCCTGGCTGGGAGAGCGAGCTGAGGCTGCAGCGCTGGTGGCGCCAGCCAAGAGCCTTGCACAACCAACGACAACGTACAAGCCTCGCGGGCAGACAGCACTGCACGCCGCCAGCTCATCTGCAAACGAGGCCAGGCGAGACAAACCAGTTCGGTCCTGCCGGAATTGCAACGGCAGCCACTGCATCACCTGGTGCCGAAGCTTCAAGGCACTGCCAGTGAAACAGCGCCGGGAATTAGTATACGAATGGAAGCTGTGCACCTGCTGCCTGAGGTCCGGGCACTGGAGGGCAGCGTGTCAGTCGGGAGGATGCGAACGTTGTCCAGCCAGGCACCACACTCTGCTCCACCAAGAGCGTACCCAGAGGACTAGTGGAGCACGAGGGGGCTCGACGACTGACGGAACGAGTGGAGCACGAGAGGGCTCGACGACTGACGGAACGAGTGGAGCACGAGAGGGCTCGAACACTGACGGAACACAGCCCCAGGCAGCAACCAACCATCAAACCAGTGCATCGATGGGAGATCAGATTGCCTTCATGACTGTGCCAGTAGTGCTGGAGTATGAGGGTCGCCAACAGCGCGTCACCGCATTGCTGGACCCAGCCTCTACTACCAGCTTTCTGACGGATGACGCTGCGAGTAAGCTCGGCATAGTCGGCAAGCCCCAGTCGCTCCAGACAACTGTTCTGGGCGGTAAGACAGTGACAGGACAACACCAGTGTGTCGAGGTCACTATGAGAAGTGTGGATGGCAACTACAGTGCGGACCTCGAGGTGTGGACCCAGCCACAGATTACCACCCACACAGCACCGGTCAACTGGGACAAGATCAAATGCTGTTATGAGCACCTGAGAGATATTCCATTACCACCAACCAACACCCGCACTCCGGAGCTACTAGTAGGCCTGAATGTGCCGGGAGCACATACTACACTGGAAGAAGTCGTTGGCAATGATGGTGACCCAATCGCTCGTCGCCTACCATTGGGCTGGGTGTGCTTTGGACCAGTAGTGACGCCCTCACAGTGCTCGATGACCACAGCCGTCAAGCCAGCAGATGACATGACACCACAGCAGCGATTGGACGCTATTGTGGAGAAGTTCTGGTTGTGGGACGATGT